TGATATAGATATATTACAATATATATTAGCAATAATATAGATATGTGAGTATATTACAGAAATGGGTCTATTATGGTATGTTATAATGTACACGGTATGAAGTATGTTGTGAATATTCTATAACTTAATAGTACAGGCTATGAACAGGATATAAATATGAAAAACTATACAGAATATGAAATAAATAACTTTACAGAAATCTGAGATATACAGCTATACAGAAATGGGAACTATGCAAGTTGTAAACAGTTGTAGGGTTAAAAATTATCGATCCTCTCTCTCTAAAGCACTTCTGGATGGATGCAAACTGCATTTCGTTGCCCTGTACCTGTGCATGTGCAATGACAATAAAGTTGAAATCTATTCTATTCTATTTGTGAGTAATTTTAGCCTGCTTCACTTTGTCAGACTAGTTCTATTTAAGTGATTTATTGATTCAACATGTCTGCCAGTAATCAGACCTGAGCCAAAATTATTACCAGTTCACTGGCAATAATTTGCATTTTAGATTAAACAGTTAATAGCATACAGTGGTTAAATCTGTGTTAAACCTAACACAACACACCTAAACCTAATATATTTATCATTAGCTGAAAATGACAAGTGATGGAGGAATATTTCAAACCATCCCTTCAGGAAAAGAAGCAATAAAACACTATGAAAATACCTCAGTACACACAAAACTGTATTATTAGAAAATTGTACATAAAGTATCAAAAATGAAAATGATTATTCTGTAGAAATATTTCCTCCATCAGACTCCATCTCTTTATCTTATTCAGGACATGTAAGCCATCCCCAAAGTATCTTAATATGCTGTACATACCTTTATCAGATCTATTCCTCAGTGAATTTTAAAATGATGAATATGGTTGTTTCTATTTGGCTAAAGGATAAACCCTATACTTTTAAATGAATCTGGCATTAAAAGTGCTTAATCACGATGACTCAGTGTGTATACGTCACAGGAATCTGAGTACAGTTGCTGTGTAGATGCTTTTGGATATTGATTTGTGAAAAATCTCCCAACCATTTGTTTTGTTTTTGTTTTGTTTTTTTCCATTCGCATGGAAATGATTAGGCGTAATAGTCTGTTTCTCACAACAAACTAAAAATCCAGGCAAATCCATTTAGAGTTTACAACAAAGGCAGTAATTATATATATTTGAGATTTTCTTACTGTTCTGTGTTAACTAGGAACATTTCTTCATGCTCTGACTTAAGGTACACCCTAAGCCTCAGACTTTAGGTAGGTGGACTACCTATAAACCTATATATAAGCTATAATACATATGAGTTGATATTTTCTAAGTTGTAACTACTGTATAGTGACTAGCAAAACAGGGACAACATTTCAAGGGATCCCTTGAAATGTTTCACTATAAATGCATAAAAAGATACACACAAACAGATTTCTAATAAATTACAATAACAGTAACTCTCCCGCTCTTCCTCTGTGAAAAGTTTGGGCGTCATTCTTGACAGTACATTATCCTCTAACTCTCACATCAATAATATCACTCGCTCAGCATATTTCCAACTCCGTATCATCAATCGCCTCACTCCACATACCACTGCTATTCTCGTCCATAGTTTCGTTACCTCTCAGATTGATTACTGTAACTCACTTATCTGGCCTGCCACAAAAATTCATCAACAAGCTTCAACGTGTCCAGAACTCTGCTGCCCGTATTATTACTAGGACTCCCTCTCACCACATCATCCCTATCCTGAAGCAGCTTCACTGGCTCTCGGTTCAACTCCGTATTAATTTTTAAAATACTCCTTTACACATTTAAGGCTATTCATTCTCTCTCCCCACCATATCTCTCTGACTTGGTAAAGATCTCCATCCCATCCCGGTGTCTCAGATCCTCCTCTTCTCTTCTTCTTTCTGTTCCTTCATTTCGTCTTATTACCATGGGGTGCAGGGCTTTAAGTTGCTCTGCCCCTCGACTTTGGAAATCCTTACCCCCTGACCTCAGAAACATCAGTTCTTTCCCCCTTTTTAAGTCCACCCTCAAAACCCACCTGTTCAAGATAGCGTACTCTGTATAACTACTCCATGCTCTTAAACTTTGTTTCCATTGACAGTGGAAAATGCTTCATGGTGGATGTCAATCGATTCACAAATTTTACAGTAAGATTTCTTGTTACTGATGTAAATGTTTTAACTAAAATCACTTTGATGCCAAATTTGCTAAAAATCATTGAGTTCTACTCTATTTACCAGTTGAGCAGAGCCTTTCAGTCAGTGATGCCAAGGCTGTGGTTCAGGCAACCACTGCCACTACATTTAGTTGACTCTAAGGACTCTTTGACAAAGCAGTTAAAAACATTGTCGTTTAAATGGGCTTCTGTTGAAAAGTTAATTAATTATTATTATTTACTTATTGTAAAACTACCTGTTTATTTTATTGTTTTACTGTATTTTTTATGGCACTTAATGTTCTTATTTATTTGACTCTTTATTTTATTTTGTCTATCTATAGTTCCATCCATCCTTTCTCTTCCACTTATCCAATTCAGAGTTTCTGGGGGTGAAACTGGAGCCTGTTCCAACTACCATAGGGCAAGAGGCAGAGTACACCCGGTTAGGAAAACTGTCAGGTTGTCCAGAATTCATGTTTTGCAGTTTTATAACAAAGAAAAAGTGTTTCCCACACACAGATTTTAAGATGTAGGTAAATAACAGCTGCTAGCCCCAGACCTTTATGGCCCCTATTTTTCTTTACATAAAATGCCGCATCATCTGTTAGTCCAGGTTTTGGAAAATATCAGTTTTCACATGCTAACTAATCCTCCTCTATCAAAATCAATTTTGTTTACATGAAGTAGCTGTAGGATCATCTTTTTGGACAGGGACAGTAGCACAGTTTCTTGAACATCCTCTATCTCCTGCAGGTTTAGGATGTCATCAGTGGCAGCCTGGGAAAAGTGACTCTCACCTCACTAAACATTAGACATGCAGATCGTGTCTACAGTAAGGGTCCTTCTTCTAACTGCTGAGGGGTTAGAAGTACAGCACAGTGTTGATTGGTTTGCAGGGAGGGCTGGAGATTCAACTCAGACTTCTGGTTTTCATTCACTGTTGAGGGGAATTGGTGGGGAAAAACAACTATGGCGCATTTTGTTACATTTGTTTCACCTTTATGGAAATGTTAAGAAAAACAATGTCTCAAACAAAACCTGAGATCTTTGCTTTTTATGGTGTTTAGAGCCTTATTGCAACATTCTTTTACATACAACCAAGTGTTTTATGCCAAATCTTATTGGAAACCAAGTTTAATTAAAGTGCTCTCTTATTAATTTTCTCAGTTAGTCATCTATGGAAGTAAACAATACATCTATGGCAATATATATAAAAAAAAACCCCACAAGATCAGCAATGGAAAGTACAGTTATCTTAACCTAAATGTTAGTATTCACCTACTGATTTTGGTTAAAGTGAAACAAAATCAGTAATAGGCCACCTTTATATTACCAGTATTTATCCTGCAGGGCGTTTAGCTTCATCTCAGTCCTCTCAGGTCTATAAAGGACAGAGTGTTAGCCACCATTCAGTAGATTAAGTCTGGCCGGCATCAAGGATCAAGTATTTTGCCTGTGAGCACAGACTGTATTTGTACCGATTTGACTGTGTAAAGATAAAAGAGACCACAGGGATGACAATGAGGTAGAAGTAGCGAATAGACGGGTAAGTTCATTGGGGAGGGGGCTGTGAGCTGATACTGAGGATGAATTTATTCCACTTGACACTGAAGCCTTGCGTCAGGTGTAGTGTGCAGGCTCTCAAGAGGGACTTTCCCAGCTACAGTGAGAGAACAGGAAAAATGGATCCCTTAGTCTACCGTACTAAACAGAATAGCAAACTCAACCACAGTAAAGACATTTTATAATCAGTATATTTAAAGACAGCAAGGTAAAATAAATAATAATTCTCAAGACGCACAAAAAAAACTTTATCGTTACTGGAATATCACAAATAAACTTACAGAGTATGTCACCAGTTCTGCTGACAGCTGCTTTGTTCACTTTGTATTCCTTCTGCTGGGACCTGAGATGAGAGGAGTGCATCTGTAACTTTGGCATCAGCATTATGGACAGCTCCTCAACCAGCAAAGAAAATGAGCTTAAACCAAACAGGGATGTAGGTTTAATTTCATTACTCACACCCTCAACTTCGTCACCGCCTCCAGTCTCCGCAGTGCAGAAAGAACATTTTTCTGTGTGTCAGAAGACAGGACTTCAAAGGTGCGAAGGTCACCTGCAAAAAAAACAAACAAACAAACACCCCACAAACTGTAAGTTTGTAAGTTACCAGTAGGGATGGGAATTTATAAGAATTTTGCGATTCCATTATCGATTCTCACTGGCTCCACTTTGAGAGTCGTGACCATCTCTAAGCAGCATATCAATGACATTACATTCATGCAAAGTAATTACAAATTTCCCATCTTAGTTGTGATCAGTGTTGGGATCATTACTCAAAAAAAGTAAAGTAAAAAAGTACATTACTTAATTACACCCAGGAGAAAGACATTTGTTATTCTACTCGTTACAAAAGTGATCTTTCTCTAAGTATTTAGCTATGAACACAAAGCTGACAACACAAATCAAAGATAAAAAACCAGCACAAAGACATTTTAAAGTGATCGTCACAGTGACTCTACTCTAGAAACATGAACAGGTAGAAACGGAGGTAGCAGCCTGACTGCTCATCAGTTTGTTACCTGTTGAAATTAAGCAGCGGCTTCACCGCAAATGAAGGCTCACTTTATCATGGTGCTGGGCTGGGGTCAGCATTTACTCAGCTTTAACGCAACTCTTGGTTCTTGGCTAGCTTAGCATTAGCATGCTGTCTGTGCAGGTGCTTGCAAAGAGCCTAAGTTGTATTAACAGTATAATGCAGATGTTTCTGTTCTGGATCAGTCTCCACTTTACCATCAAGCTCTCATTCTTTTTTGCAATAAAAATAAAAGTGATGTCCATATCCACGCTGGAGACTGTGCTACTATTTTTCCAATTTGACACACAAATTAAAATCAGCTGATTGTAACGAGAGTGCAAGAATCGAAAAAAGGGACTGATAAGCAGGCTGACTAACGATTCCAAGGATTTGGGCTAATGGAAACCAGTTCTCTACAATAACCGGTTCTTGATCCCTAGTTACCAGGTGGGAGAGGTCTCTAGTGGTCAGAGGTCATTTCACACACTCAGTTGTACCTGAGAGGATGAGTTTTGTAGCCAGGTTTCGGACATCAGGTAGGAACTGTTCCTCAGTAAACACGTGATCTTCCTTTTCACACAAGTACCTGAACATCAGCTGGACAATAAAAAAAAACATTCCAGTGAATTTTAAAGCACATAAGTAGGACTCATCTTTAGTATCTCTTTAGATTCTGTGATATGAACTGCACCCCCTCTCTAAAGATGATCTTAATATATTTGTGCTGTATGCAGGCAAACCATGAAGTGGACAAAACTGTATTTGTCTTACTAAAGACAAAAAGTTTTCAAATTCTATAAATCAAGTTTTTAATACAGTTTTGTTTTATGGTCATAAAATGGCTTAGGGAAAATATTTAAATTTTATAAGTTTAAAAGATGAGAGTACAGCATGTCCTTTCATGTTTTTAGAAACAATGCCATGATTGTTAGTCATAAATATTATGTGATAAATTTTTTTAAAGTGATTCATGTTTAATGACCTTTCTTAGATTACACTAAAAGGTCCATAATTTGTTGGACATTGACACTTTTTGTGGTTTTCTCCTCAAGTGAGGGAACCATCATTAGGCTGAAAAACCCACATAAACCCATCAGAGAGATAGCAAAAAAAACCCTTCAGGAGTGGTCAAATCACTAGTGAACAGAAAGGTTGCACCAGCTATAAAATCCACAATCAAAACATCTGAAAGATCACAGAAGACAACTTAAACTAGATTGTGACGGATCTAACCAAGTCAAGAACACTCTCAGGAAGATAGGTTTTATCATGGTCAGTGTTGAATCCAGAAAGCCTTCAAGAATGTAAACCCTCTGGAAATACAGAGGGGTTAGGTGTAGACCACTGATTACAAATGAAAGAGGAAGGCCAGATTAGACTTTGGCAGAAAACATCTAAGAGATGGCACAAGCAATCTAAGGGTTTTATCAACAAAGAAATGGTCGGTAAAAATCAGTCATCTGACCTCAACTCAGAAACTGAAAGCCTCATAAACAAGCAGCAGCTGAAGGAAACTGTAGTAAACGCCTGGCAGAGCAACTCAAGGGAGAAAGTACAACATTTGGTGTCCATGGTTTCTAGACTTTAGACAGTCATGGACGAAAATACTGTACATTCAAAGTATAAAAAAATCAGTTCATATATTTAAAAATAAAATCAGTAAATCTGTCTGCTTTCACTTATTCTTGTCAGGGTCACAGGAGCCTATCCCAGGTACTATAGGCAGGGTACACCCTGGACAGATCGCCAGTCTGTTGCAGGGCTAACACATAGAGGCAGACAAACATTCGCACCTATGTGCAATTTACAATTACCCTAACCCCACTAACTGTATGTCTTTGGACTGTGGGAGGAAGCGGAGAGAACCCACACAAACATGGGTAGAAGCGAACTCAGGACCTTCTTGCTATAAGGCAACAGTGCTAATCACCACACCACCATGCTGCCCCTATATTTAAACGGTGCAGGAATGATGGCTAGAGTGGAGCTGACACTGCTCCAACCGTGGAGCTACTTCTTTCCTGGCTCAGATTTTGCAAAATGGAACAACAGAGTTGTCAGCAACCTGCTTTATTATCAAACTAATTAAATGGCTTTGGTCACTGCTGTTTTCCTCTTCGTTGGGATCCTGAACCCTCCAGGGCCGTTCATAGCCATAGCTGTGGTGTCGGCAGACATATTTGGACCAAAGTAGTTGTTTATGCTGGATGCTCTGGTTCAGCAGGAGGAAACCATTCAAAAGATCCACAACTTTCAGGATTAAAAGTGAAAGAGTTACTGAATTTGAGAAGAAGCAAATGCACGTGTGCTCTTTTCTTTCCAAAGATTATGACTTTTGTTTTTTTTTGCTAAGATTTCATTCCTTTCTGTTTCATATACAGCTTGTGATTTGGAAAGCAAGATTGTTATCTGAAGGGCTTTATCTTCACCTCAGGGCTTCTGTCACTCTACCTAGGACTTGTTATTTCTATTCTTTGAAATCTCTAATGATGAAAAAAGATTATGTGATTGCTGCTTAAAGTAGAATTAGACTCCTCTATACATTAAGTTCATTCTTTAAACAAATTAGAAATGTGCGGTTGAAAACAGTTGCAATTAGTGTACGTGGCAGCATGTCAAGCTAATAAAACTATATGACAAAAGTGGTATGTGTAATCAAATAACGCTCCAAATTAAAATTGTAGGAGGATAATTCTGGATTCAGTTCTGCTCAGAAAAAACGGTGTGCATAATATGCTGTTCACAACAGTCACTCCTCACTAAATACACTTAGTCACAGAGAGAGATACTCAAGTTAAAAGGACCTGATATGAGTCTAAGAAGGGTTGCAGCAGCTTCTGCAGAAAGGATAAAACTTCCAGCCCCGTTTCCAACACGGTCACTTCCTGCTGACTGATGTGGACTGCTCCACATTTCTGCAGGAGTGAACATGCCTCCTCAAAGTCCTAAATGATGGAGAGACAGATATGCAATATGAGTAACAATAAATATATACCCATGATAATAATCTGTCTCATGGTTAACCATACAAGTGTGTATGAATATGACAGTAGCAAAAAACGTAAGGACCATAAGCACAAAATTTCTTAGGTTTTCCCAAGAATGGGATAAATGAGAGGCTACAGTGACCTTGGCCTTTGACTCAATTCATGCACAAAATAATGCTGATCCTAACAAACATGGTTGTTACCTGCACTGCGCTGCCAGGGATAAAGATAAATTCATTGGAGAAGACGTCCTGCAGGAAGCAGAAAAAGCTGAAGAGCTCATCTGTGAACAGAAAAATGGGTCACAGCTAAACAAGATATGCCCATTCATGAGACTGAGGATCTGTAACCCCACCTAACTCTTACCCTTCCGTGTGTTTTTTGTGATGTGGATGGCTGTAGCAAGTATTCCTGGACGCACAAAGACATGCAATGCCTGATTCCTGTAGGAAACCAGCATCAGCACCACTACCGCCATCCTCATCACACCTTCCTCTGGGCTCAGTGGATCTTGCCTCGCAGGGTCTTCATCCTGAACCAGGTAGATACGGTCCTCTTTATGATGGACAATGGAGTGATGAAGAGCCACGGTGGATGACATCACTTCTGAGTCTGGGATGTGTGCTGCAAAATGCAACCTTCACATAAGTTTGAGGGTCATAAGACCTTCACAAAGTCATGTGTGCGAGTGTGTGTGCGTGTGTGTTTAAGTGTGCACACGTGCCTGCATGTGTCAATGTTCACACACAGGACACCTGTGAAGTGAGACAGTTCAGTGGCATTCTCTTAGGATAAGTTACTTAAAGTGTATTAATCCACTGAACATCTCCTAAGTGATTCTGGACACTTGTGCCAACTTGCATTCACCTAATCTTTATGATCCACACAGGACCAGGTCAAAAAGAGCCGTTGGTGCCCTGAGGTGAGACGCTGTCACATGCACCAGCAGGGAAACTACTAACCTTTCTACATTAACTGTCTGGTTGTCTAGCATTGCAATATCCTAAGGCCACCTACTGGTTACTGAAGGGAAAGCAAGCTTCATTAAAGGCCCATTATTAAGCAAAGCCTATATTGATCTTAACCCTAAGCTTGATGCTGTGGCTTTTCTACACAGCATAATTCAAATAAATTGATATCTTTGAAATCTAGCTGGCCCACCCACCAGGCCAGTTCAGACGGGCCCCGAAATCCAGCACCAGCTTCCTGAGCCAGAGGGTTTTTTCTGTGAGCTGATGCCACTGCAGACCCTCTTCCGTTAAAGTTGTGAATGGAGTCTGGAGCAACAGGCAGGCCATCAGAGACCAAGGGCTGATCAAAGAGCCCTCCTCCTGGGTTCGTACAATCAAATGAGCCAGCCAGTTCACACAGTCCTGGGTCTCTGCAGTTGGCCTCTGGGGAAGATTTCTGAATAGAAAACGAGACAGATTCTAAAGTTATATACAGGCTGTGTCTTGAAGTTTTGAAGGTTTACAATGACACAAATATTAATTTAAGTTATATTATTATTAACTTGTTAATGTTTTTGTTAATTTGGTGCATTTTACCAAGTCATTTTGGTTTAGTTTTTTATTACTCACTGTAAGTAAAACCTTTATAAAATTACAATTTTAAAATGTAAAGGTTTTTATATTCTTCAGTTGAATTACCTGTATACAACTAATGGAGATTACAATTAAAGAATATATCGATGATAAATTACAGTTATTTAAGTTATTTAGTACTTAAGACTCTATAGACTTTTTCTATTTAGACTTTGGTTGGTAGATACTCAATATTCATATTTGTACCTACAGCCATGTGTGATATTGGCAAAAAAAGAGAAAAAAAGGGAAATCTGTACCTTGGTATGAGGTTGTACTCGCTCCAATTTATCTTTCCTTCACACAGTTGTCGGGCAGACAGGGGGCGGCCAAAGTTCACATGCATGCAGCCATAATCTTCCTGCAGGACTCCGCTAGCTTTAAAGAGTCCCTGCAGGGAAAGAGTGAGGGCAAGAGGCATGTAGTTTCATATCTTTTAGAAACAAAGATTATATGGGAATTTTTATCAAGTCATAAATGAGGCTGAAACTTACGGTGATGCTTTCTTTTGGTCTGGGGACACCCAACAACTCAAGTGCAAGCAATGACTCCTCCAGCACTCTGTCATAGCTGATACTGATGGGCACCAGGGTAATATCAAACACCTCACCTTTAAAGTATGGCTCCAGCACCATGTCCATCATACCTACGGAAAAAAGGTGAACAATAAATATTAAAATTATACATAAAATGACCAGTAAACTTGTTTGACTTTTAACTCTTAAAATATCCTAAACCTAGAACAACCCTTCAATTTAAGAGAACTAAAATAATAGAAAAACATGACAATATGACCTAAACATAAATTATTAACCAGATAAAGATCTCTGTAATTAGGGTCGTGGAGAAGAGCTTTCAGAAAAGCAGAACAGAGAAAGTCCATCACATTCATATGAAATTGTAACAGTGTTTATGTTGTATGTGATTCCACTTGCCATGTTAACCACGATCTATTTGTGTATTGTGATGTTTACTGACTCAATGGTGCCCTTTTCTCATAGGCAGTGGATTAATACCACTGGCAGCGTTACAACATTGCCAGATTACGAAGGACAAGCCTGAGGTGGGTTGTATATCACAGCACTGCGCATGATCATTAGATTTTGGCATTTGTGCAACCACTATGGAGGATATTCAATTCATCCATCCATCCATTCGCTTCCGCTTATCCTTTTCAGGGTCGCGGGGGGCGCTGGAGCCTATCCCAGCTGTCATAGGGCGAAAGGCGAGGTACAACCTGGACAGGTCGCCAGTCTGTCGCAGGGCTAACACATAGGGACAGACAACCATTCACACTCACATTCACTCGCACATTCACACCTAGTGGCAATTAGAATTATCCAATTAACCTATCCCCACAAACTGCATGTCTTTGGACGGTGGGAGGAAGCCGGAGTACCCGGAGAGAACCCACGCAAACATGGGGAGAACATGCAAACTCCACACAGAAAGACCCCGGCCTGATGGTGGAATTGAACTCAGGACAGTGCTAACCACCGTGCCACCGTGCTGCCAATTCAATTCAATTTAGTTATATTTATACAGCGTCAAATCACAACATCAGTCACCTCAAAGCACTTTATATTGTAAGGTAGGCCCTATAATAATACATACAGAGAAAAACGCAACAATCATATGACCCCCTGTAAGCAAGCACTTTGGCAACAATGGGAAGGAAAAACTCCCTTTTAACAGGAAGAAACCTCCGGCAGAACCAGACTCAGGGAGGGGTGGCCATCTGCCACGACTGGTTGGGGTAAGAGAAGGAAGACAAGATAAAAGACATGCTGTGGAAGAGAGCCAGGGATAATAACAAGTGTGATTCAAGAGAGGTCTATTAACATATGTTGAGTGAGAAAGGTGACTGGAGAAGAAATACTCAATGCATCATGGAAGCAGCAGCCTATGCCAATTGCAGCATAACTAAGGGAGGATTCAGGGTCACCTGATCCAGCCTAGCTATATGCTTTAGCAAAAAGGAAAGTTTTAAGCCTAATCTTAAAAGTGAAGACAGTGTCTGCCTCCCAAATCGAAACTGGAAGCTGCTTCCATAGAAGAGGGGCCTGAAAACTGAAGGCTCTGCCTCTCATTCTACTTTTAAATACTCTAGGAACAACAAGTAAGCCTGCAGTGTGAGAGCGAAGTGCTCTAATAAGGTGATATGGTACTATAAGGTCATTAAAATAAGATGGGGACTGATTATTTAAGACGTTGTATCTGAGGAGCATGATTTTAAATTCAGTTCTGGATTTAACAGGGAGCCAACGAAGGGAAGCCAATACAGGAGAAATATGCTCTCTCTTTCTAGTCCCTGTGGTACTCTTGCTGCAGCATTTTGGATTAACTGAAGGCTTTTTAGGGAGTTTTTGAGACATCCTGATAATAATGAATTACACTAGCCCAGCCTTGAAGTCATAAATGCACAAACTAGTTTTTCAGCATCACTCTGAGACAGGATATTTCTCATTTTAGAGATATTGCGCAAATGAAAGAAAGCAGTCCTACATATTTGTTTAATATGTGCATTGAAGAATATATCCTGGTCAAAATGACTCCAAGGTTTCTCACAGTGTTACTGGAGGCCAAGGTAATGCCATCCAGAGTAAGAATCTGGTTAGATACCATATTTCTAAGGTTTTCGGGCCCGAGTACAATAACCTCAGTTTTATTTGAATTTAGAAGCAGAAAATTAGAGGCCATCCAGGGTTTTATGTCTTTAAGGCATTTCTGCAGTTTAACTAATTGGTGTGTGTTATCTGTCTTCATGGATAGATAAAGTTGTGTGTCATCTATATAGCAGTGAAAATGTAAGCTATGCCTTCTGATGATAAGCATATGGCCACTGCAAACTGTCTGACTGTTAATAAGAAGAGTTCAGGTGAATTGTTGCCAATGTGTGGTGATAAAACAGTCACATAATAGTACTGTACACTGGCTAGCTTAGCTAGCAAGATACTATGCTACCATAATATGCTATTACCTTTGCATGCAGCTCAAACACAGCACACTACAAATACATAACCAGAATATGACCAGTACATATTCTGTTCTTATCCAGGTACACAATATTTATATTAATGAACTTGTTATATTAGTTTTCAGCATTAAAACATTGCCAGATTATGAGGGACGAGCCTGAGTGCACTGTGTTTAACTCACCTGCAATGAGTCAACCTGCCTGGCCAGTACATACTTAGTACTTACCCAATTAATAAATGGCAGCACTAAAAGATAAGCAAGTCTCGTCCATCATTTACTACACAAGGCAGAGTCAAGTCATACTTTTGAACCAGTCAGTTACAGCAAAGTATAATTTAGCCTAGTTACACAATGAAATTAAAGTAAGACAGAAAAAGCCCAAAGGATCAGATGCACACACTTTGATATCCTGGGACACACTTAAAAAAAACAAGGTGGTAAATTTGGACACTTACCAAGCTTTGGCACTAGAGACTTCAGTGTGCGACTCCTGAAACCTTCTACATAAAACTCCAAAGGAGCATATCCTGTCTACAGAAAACACATTATGCTGTTGGAACCCTTCCTTTGATTGAAGTTTATTACCAAAGATGCATTCAGGAATATGCTGAAAAGTCATCGTCTTACCCTGACAATTGTTTGTACATATTCTAAAAGCACCGCCCAGTACAGCTTGTCAGAGCCGATTGCTCGTCGGATATAAAAAGCTCCAGAGCGACGCAGAAGCCCTCCAATAATCGCCACATCTGCAAGACCTTTAAAATGGAGCAGAAGAGACAAAAATTTAAAAATATATATTTTTTGTTGCTACACTATAATTAACTGGATATAATGTAGTATGATTTAAAAAAAACATTTTGTTGTCTTAATATGAATAGATACTTGCGAATTCCTGCAGCAATGACAGGTACTGGGATGTCATAGGTGAACAGGATGTAGGATATAATCAAGAAGTCCACATAACTCCTGTGATTGGGTATCAAGATCACAGGACTCTCCTGGATGGCCTGCTGCAGCTGCAGTGACAGAAAAATTCAAATTTTCCAGAAATCAGTGAAATTACACACTGCACTAGTAGGTTCTATTTGTAGTACTAGTAAGATGGAACAAAAAAATCCTAAGTGCTAAAAAGTAAAATAAATCTAATATACAATACTGTGTAGCTAAAGTATGTTAAATGGCAAACCTCCGAATCCTACAGCAAATATATGAAAATACTGGTGGTGGCCAGTTTCACTTGAGGATGCACCAGTTGTTGCAATTTCAAAGTTCTATGTCGTCATTCTCAATTTATCAGATTCACAAGATGTACAGAAAATTACACCTCTGACCTCCAACCTTGAGGTCAAGGTCAATGAGATTCACACTCGTCTGAGATTTTTAGTAGATACCCCTACAGTATTAATGTGAAACTCCTACATCGCTTCGTTTTCAAGTTATCAAACTCACAAACTTAGGTGTCCACGTTACCTGCCTGCTTGCCTGGTGACTACAATACTGTATCAGCCTTTTACGGCTGAGGAGTAAAAATGGTTTACTATATATATATATATATATATATTCATTCTACTATATATGTTGAAACAAACTGTTAAACAATTGATTAAAGTGTATTGACTCTGATGAGTCCCGACCATGTTGAGTCCTTCCATGTTGACATAGATGCTCCTGTAGAGTCTCTTGAACACCTTGTTTAGAGTGTAGCCCATTAGCCTGATAAACCCCAGCTGCAGATTGTGAGACATTTCCTTCAAAATCCTAGAAGCATCTTCTTTCACCTTCTCCACAGATGACCCCGTCTCCATGGCAATCTAAGAGGGAATATGAGCCAAAAAGACTCACTCCATATTGGCAACGCTATAGTGTAAAGCTTCATTGCCTTAAATGAAAAAAAGACTCACCTCTTTGATAATATAGCACAGATACTGGGACTCCAGTACAGCTTTGTTGAGGTCAGAGGTGGAAAGGGTTGGGGCTCCTTTGTACGGTTGCGGGTTAAAGGTTCTCAGGGCATAACCAAGATCAGTGGTGCGCCTCCTCTCCTCCAATATATCCGTGAACTCTTCCTCATCCTTTAGGCTTGCAGTGGCTGAATCTTTATACTGGAGGAAGGAGTAAGGTTTATGTTAACAGTCGTAAAGTTAAGATGTTGGACACTTGTAACAGGATAGAAAACAACAGACCAGAGGTGTGGGCGGCAGCACAGGACACCATTGTTTGGATTCATTAGCATCACGTTTTATAGACTTTCAGCTTTAATTAAAGGAATTCAACAAAAGTATTTAATTAACTATTCAGGAATTACACCCATTTATATACACAGTATTTTTTTTCAGAGGTTCAAATTAATTTGACAATTGACAATAGAAGACAGCTCAAGTGCATTATCACAGCATTATTTCTAAAGTCGACTAAATCAAGCATACCACATCGTCTGTCAAACATATTGGAGGCCTCGGTATGGCATCGGCATGTATGGCTGCCAGTGGTAACAGTTTATCAGTATTTATTAATGATGTGACTACTGATTAGAAGTACCAACATGAATTGTGAAGTGTACAGGGCTGCTCTTTCTGTTCATATGCAGTCAAATACTGCAAAATTCATTGGACACCACTTCACAGTGCATGCGGATAACAATCCAATCCCTACTGCAAAACCAACCCAAGAGTTTCTTAGGTCACGAAATAAGATTTTCTTTAGTGGCCAAGTCAATAATCTGGTCTCACCCAATAGATCATAGTTTGTTTGTTTTATGAGGACAAAGCTGAATGGAAAATACCCCAAAACAAGCAGCAACCGAAGGTGGCTTCAGTGGCTGCACTACCTTATATTTCAAATGATTTTAGTTTGTTCCATTACTTCATCGCTTTTTACCCTGTTAAACCTCTTGAATTTAAACAACCTGGAGGTCTGTAGTTTAGTCACTGTGAGTCCGTCTGATTTATAACCCAGTGTGATGGTGTACATAGGGAAAACTACAAAAAAGGGTCATTGTAATTATGGATCCAACTGTATTTTTTTTTGCCAGATAACTGTTATGCTATCATAACAGTTATCCAGCACAAAATGGTGAAGATATAAAATAAAATTTCTTTGCTACAAAAGCGGAAGCAATAAAAGCAAAAATGAAAGAACAAAGAAAGAAAGAAGATGAATGACTGCTATTCACAAGCGGGTTCTTTTGAAGAGTTATTTTGTAATTGTGCATCGCTATAGTTATCCAGTTAATCTGCTATTGTGCTGTACTGTGCTCGCCTCACATTATAAGCAGGGGGTTGTTTTTAATTTTTGACACCCGAAATACCTTCGAAACCACTTTTGGCCTAAAGCACAAGTGACTGGAATCGAAATCACATACAGTGGATATTTACAGTTTCTGTTTCTCTTTACAATAAGGGAAAAATACGTTTTGGGTTTTGTTTTTATTTTGAAAAGTGGGTTAAGAGAAAATAAATACCCTATAAAGAATACAACGTTTATCGAGGAAACCCCGTAAAAAGTCATTATTTCCTCTCTGCTCTATTCTGCAGGCTGCTGTGACCTGCCAACACTGGCTGGTGACAAACTATTAAGCAACACCGGCTTACATACACTTTTTTTGACCAGCTTACGGCTGCCAGTCTCCATAGGACATCCCTGCCTGCGTAATTAACAGCAAAAAACATTCCTGCTTGAAGACAGACAACAGCGAACATCGCTACAAGTTTCGTTCAGCGGTCTCCTTCTGGCTTTTATATATCATGGTAACTTTGAAAGGTTTAGAGAAAAGCGTCGACAGGCCCGAAAGAAGACGACAAAACAGACGCTTTTAACACTTGCTTCTTACCGTACTCGTCATTCTATAGGGGCACTAACACGACCAAGGGAGGTGATTGGCCTCATTGACTTTCGGTTTTTGTACTTGGACGTTATCTTCGCTCAACACTTGTGATGTATGCAGCACTTCGGGGCCCAGGGCCTATGGTGTGGCTGGGTTTTGGAAACTCCTCCTCCAAATTGTAATGCTCAGCCCTCTGCTCTCAAGTAACCCCTCCGATGTTGTGTGGGATAGATGTTTCAAATGAACTGGAGTTTGTCTATTGTAGAAAAAATGTCTGAATATTTTGGGGTGGCACATAACCAGGAATTAAACGTTAACTGAAAGGCACATGCAGAGGGGGGCTTGAGCGCCTGCCTCTTTCCCGATGGGTGCCTCAAGTGCCCTTTTCTTGAGTCAAAGGAGCTTGCAAAGAAAAGCGTCTGGACTTCTTTAAGTTACTTGAAGACGTTTCACCTCTCATCCGAGAAGCTTCTTCAGTTCTAAGGTCAAATGGCCTAAGGCCTTTTCTAAGGCCTTTTCTTGAGGCATTTTTTTATATGTGTGTGTGCGTGTGGAGTCCTGCCTCTGCCCCTCGACAATAACATTTAACTATTAATTAAAAAATTTGAAAAGGATCTGGCTTGCATCAGTCACATGACTACCATTAAACAGTGCACGCCCCTGACGGCAGAGGGCGCTGGTTCCAAGCCGGTGTAATGACAAACCGGGAACGAGCTCGCCAAGAGCACGCGCATTTTTTGCCGCCTGAGCGATGTGGAGCTGTAGGAGAAACACAAATTAATTGGGAGACGCAGGCTGATGCAAAGAAAACCAATAGCACACAGGAGTATTAGGTTATTATGTACACGTTAGTAAGTTGTCTTGTGGCAACTTGAATTGAAATAAATAGAATAGAATAGAATGGAATAATCCTTTAATTGTCCCACAAGGGGAAATTTGGTTGTAACAGCAGCCAGAAAGACACATATACAAACAAACAGTACACAGGACACAGAACAGGAACATACACATTTTTTTCTTACATATTTACATTAAGGACAATAGTTACTATAAACAGAGTACTGTACAGTTATTAAATTAAATAAAAATAACTACAGAGAGAACAAGGACTCGGTCAGGTCGGAGCTGCTGGCTGCCAGCTCAGAGCGGCACCGGTAGCGTGCTGAGCGTGCTGTGTGTGCAACAGAGCGATTAAACATTACCTGTCCTTTTATTAACTGCAAAGCTGACTGCTACATAGAAAAGGAGAGTACGACCATGTAGTATTTAAAGCGTGGAAGTACTGATCTTAGTTTGAGTTTGATTCCGTAAAAACTGACAAAAACATTAGCGTCCGCTGTACAGACGAAGAAAACTTCTTTCCATAGCAAAAATGTAACTTCAAATCTGAGCAAGCACCGAGCATGCTGCCACAGGAATGTGAAATTCACAGAAAAACCGCCGGATCCCCCCACTGACATGACCGCTGCAACACTGGGCAAACCTCCACCGGCTGCACTCCTGCTAAACAGGTGAAAATAGATTTAGGAGCTGCTGAATCTTTGATTTTATTGTTTGCAGTGTATTACTTGCATCTATTTGAAAGAGTGAGTGTAAATTTTTGCAGAAAATCAGTTTAAATGTTAAACAAATTTCTTCAAGTCAAAGACTATTGCATATAATTAAATTTTTTGCTTGATGCAATGTGCATAAAATTAAAAGATTAAAACTAATAAAACAAATAAATCCACTGTGTAGCTGTTCACTTTTGTTTTAGCAGCAAGAGCCTGTGCCATCGTCATCAGCTGAGCACTCTGCTTTCCTTTACACATAACTGTTATGATCTAGTCCCATTTCACAAGGTGGTGTACTGTTCCAGATCATTTTCCAATTGCTTCATTTGGTTTGTTTTAGCCGCAAATGACAACTGGAGACACATCCAAAGGTGTAAACAAAGTGATGGAAAAATTAAATGGTAGCCTATAGAAAACAACTCCTTCAGTGGACGTTCATATTTTATCCCAGACAGTTCACACAACATTTGAAATACACAGCTGGCTGAAGCACAGTTAAAACTGTATTTACATTATTTTACATTATTTTAACCAGGCAGTGTGCAAAGGTGAGACAAGCCCTTATATCACCCAATATGCCAGTAGCTAATTTGTTATAAACCAACTTTACTTGCCACAATCTCACATTTCTGAATAAAAACTCAGACAAAGCAGTTACCTTCATTATTACTTTCAATGAAATGGTAACTCCATAAAGGAAGCATATTTGACACAACAGTTTACAGTACAGTGTACAGTACAGAAGTACCGCCCCAGTTCTGTGTGAAAGCAGCCAGTAAATTTTAAAATGAAAATTTCAAAAAGCCTCCTTCGCTGACCAGACCTGCTGTGGGTTCACAAGGGATCACTGTTTAATGGTGCCCTGTCCATAGGCAGGTGGATCCTGAGGGCCAGTGGGGTGGGCTGCCCAGAGTCTGTTGCTATCTGGGAAAAAGAGTATTCACTACTGATCAAGTTTTACCTTAACGTAGTATGTCAATTATATTTTATTACTAATTCACCTTGTCATGGTGTGTGCATTTTACTTCCTGTTTTATTTTGATAGTGTCATATCTCATGAGTGATGTTCAGTTGTGTTCCCTGGCGTTTCCTATCTTCCTAATTACCTAGTGTGTATATATTGCCTGAGTCTCCCTTTGTTCGTGTCATCCCTCATAGTTGTGTCCTCCTTCACAATATGTTTTCTCCAATGTATCCGAGATTAGATTTTCCTGGTTTGCTATTTATTTTATTTTGACCTTTTTTTAGTTCAATAAATCCATCTTTAATCTACCCCTCATGTTTCTGAATCCTGCATTTAGGTCCTACTCCCGCCTGCCAAGCAACCACCTTCACATTATTAATATGAAAACCACAGATAACTGATGAGATGGATGACAAGTAGTATGTCCTCTCTTTCCTCTGCCAGATGTTTTCTACAGTCATTGTGCCAGATATGAAGAGGAGAGGTGAGCCATCTCACCACTTTGTGGCAGAATTTACACTTAAGACCCTTCTTTAATGAAATAAAACATTTAGAAGATTAAGGAGTGTGTTTATTGGACTTTTTTAACAATTGAATACTTTTGGTAATATAGTGTATTACAAACAGTTGTACTGTAATTATAAAATCCAAACAATTATGTGCATGTAAAGCTGTTGGTGTACCATTAAAATTTAAAGATGTGAAAATTCTAATGTGAATAATTTCTCACATCTCTCTACATTAAATGCCAACTAGTGATGAAAAAAATGACATTAAATCTGTGTGATTTCTCTCTTGACATCGTGTTAACATTAAACTCATCACATAGTTTTGTAACACTGTAAAATTACATGGCTTACATGTCTGTAATAATGGCATCTAAATACATTAAAAAGAGTGACTTCATATGTTTTTCCATGCTTGACATAACACTTCAATAGCAACAGTTAATTTTCTTTAAGCAGTTTTCCAAACGTTCTTCTTGAATACTGGTTTAATATAAGTGGTGCAGTTATGCTATTTTTAAGTTGTGTTCTAAGTCTTGGTAGCATTTGTTTATGCAAATACTGCAGCCACTTGTATACTAAAGTAGAAAAAGAGGAAATGGTATTTCATCGGATAAGAGCAAGCATTTGCTTATATATCGGGCATAAGCCTGACAGTCAAATTCTGTTATAGTTCACAGTAATTTGGCAAAAACCTCTTTAAGAATGAAGCATATTCTTGCTTATCTGTGTGCACTGGGGTCTTTTCTACATTGCTTTGATCAATGCACTGTGCCAGATTCTGAGTTTCAGCGAGAAGGAGATTATTTGATAGGTGGACTTTTTAATATTCATCAGGCCAATAGCTCTATTCATCACTACAGACCTGAAGTCTGTAGTGATCTATCTATCCATCTATAGATAGATAGATAGATAGATAGATAGATAGATAGATAGATAGATAGATAGATAGATAGATAGATAGATAGATAGATAGATAGATAGATAGA